TACGTCTCCGACTCCGACTCCGACTCCTACTCCTACTCCTACTCCTACTCCTACTCCTACTCCTACTCCTACTCCTACTCCTACTCCTACTCCTACTGCTACTGCTACTGCTACTGCTAGTGCTAGTGCTATTGCTATTGGTATTGCTATTGCTATTGCTATTGCTATTGCTACTACTGCTACTACTACTACTTTCTACTGCTGCGACTACTGCCACTTGCTGCTGCAGGTAGTACGACTACAGCTTTCACGATGATGGCTACGGCTACTCTACTAGTCTGCTGCAAATGCTAGCAGCAATCATGGCAACAGTAGCGTATGTTCCCAGGAGAGAAGAAGAGGTGCGAACTGCTGCTGATAGGACTCCCGGTAATGATGCAACTTGCCCACCTTTGCCCGAGGCATTGAGGTTGGGATGGTCCTCCAGAATCGCTTCCACTACACTTCGGATGTGGCCCTGTGCTCAGCTCGTAGTTGAGGCCAGATTCGGATGTGACAGACAGTTCTCTCACGCCCCAGTTCCTCGCCATTCTCTTGACCTTCCTGTGGCTTTGCTGGCATGTTTCCTGCGGGTCTTGGATGCGCGTTGAACAGGCTTAGGGGTATGCTTATAAGATAACAAACAGCCTTCACCATTAGCGGCATCTCATATTGAATCCTTTCTGAACAGAGTATACCCCGCCAAACTAGCTATAGCTGACTGCTGCCCTGCATCGCAAGCATTGTGCCAATATTGCTAAATGAACGATCCCTTAATATTCAGATTTTTAAAAGACAGCCAGGTACACGTCAGCGCCCATCTGCATTGCGGCGAAGTGGTGGGCTGGGTTGCGATCTCAGCCCCTGAACGCGGAAACCCGAAGCCTTAAGAGGGCTGAGGCATTTAGGCCGAGTCACCTCCTCGAGACAAAGGGCCTTTCAGGGAAGATGCTGTTTTTTAGTCCTAGGAAACAGTTGAAAGGGTTCTTTGAGGATTTTTGACGCGTTCAATCAGGGCTCAGCCAAAAGGCCTCCAGTTGCAACCTAAGGCCTCAATGTAGGGGGGCCTTAATAATTAGACTAGGGTTTTGGGGTCCATTATACTACAGTTATAATAAGGAACCCCCCAAAAAATAGTATAGGTAATTATTTATTTAGGCCCCCCCTAGATTACAGAGCCCGGTGTTTGGGCCCAAGAGCCTTAAGACCTCAACGCCGGACACCCCCAAACCACGGAGACCCCATGGAAAAGGTTCATGAGCCCCTTATAAACCGCAACAGAAGCCTTATGAAGCCCCATAAAGCCCAATAGAATTATTCTTATCCCCTATGAAAGCCATTGAAACTGTAAACCTCTAACGAAGCACATTGTCATAGTCCTTAGCCCAGGCTGGGTGAAGCCGAGTACAACTACGAAATAAAGGCTCAGGGTTTGTGGTTTAGGTTTTAGGGCTTTGAGGCCTTTCAGGGGTGTCAGGGGTTTCAGGGCTTTAAGGTTCAGGGCAGAAGAATTGCTTCAGGCGTCTGGGGGCAGGACTTTCGGAAGGCTTGTGTAAGAGTCATGGATTTCGCAGGGTTTTTCAGAGGCTTACGAGGGCGTTGCAGAGTTTTGTAGGGGTTTCAGGGCAAGGTGTTTTGAACGGTTCTTGTAAGGATTCAATTATGGTGAAACGAGCAGGCATGGGCTTTCGAGATTCAATTGCGGTGAAACAAGCAGACAGGGGCTTTAGAGTTAGAGGTGGCTGAGTTGTGCAAGACCCAACTAGCAAACCTTCTTGAGTGAATCTTGAAGGCCTAACCTGTTAGCGGAGTAAGGCCTTTAACCCCCAACGAGGAGTTTTCCAAACCATAGAGCCTAATATCCACTCAGGCACATAAGTAGAAAGCTTTTGGGGGTGGGGGTCGTGGGTTAGGTTGAGGTTTTAGGGGCAAGTGTCCCGGGTTTGGGGGGTTGGGTTTGGTTTGATGTTTAGGGATTAATCCCCGAGTCCTTCCAAACACCAAAACACACACCCCAACCCATCAAACCGCAAACTCAATCGACCCCAAACCCCCGAACAGCTGCATTGCTGAACACTTTTAAAAAAGCCGACAGAAGCCCGAAGCCCCTCAACAAGGCCCAGAAACCCCATAAAACCCCAAAATAAATGTAAAACCCTCTCAAAAACCGTGTAGTGCCCTCTTGAGCCCCTTTTACCGGAACCCCCCCCCCAAAAAAAAAANNAAAAAAAAAAAAAAAAACGCTGGCAGGATATGGTGCTGATTCCGCGCCAGGCTCTCCAGGCGGACGTGTGGCTCCCCACGCCACTGACATGCAGAGAGATCCCCAAAGTTTCGGAACATTTTTGGGGTTTAGGGTTTAGGGTTTAGGGTTCTGGCTTCCATGGTCTTTAGGTCTTTCGAAGTGTTTTGGGGGGGGGTTAAAGGGGCTTTCGAACTGGCTCCGCCAATCCGAAGGAGATGCTTTGAGGAGGTACTTAAGGTTGAGTACGTCCAGCTCTCTATGAGGCCGCTGGTGAACCGGATTGGGCCCCAACCTTAAACCCTAAGCCCGAGTTGTAGTCCTTGGTCACAGGATTTTAGAGATTCTTTTTTTTTTTTTTGGGGGGGGGNNGGGGGGGGGGGGGGGGGGGGCACGGGTAGATCCGGTTTCAAGCCTCGCTGGGCCCTGGAGTCATGAGGATAAGGGATATCGGGTAAAGGGTACTAGAAATTGTTCCCCAACAAGGCATTATTATAAGGGACACTAAGTAAGGTTGCTGCAACACTGTATAAAGGTCACGGATACTACTATCGTGTGTGTGTGTGTGTGTGTGT